CTCTGAATGACACGTCATGTTTTTTGTTGCTTCTATTGGCAGCTTGCACTTTTTATTTTCATCTCCAGTGGTGTTACCTATATTTTGTGTTTTTAGATCAAGATAATCATAGGATGACTATTTATTGGAAGTGACAAAGTGAATAAATTAATACTAGGCATAAGTACTTTATGTCAAGAATTTGACACTGTGCTTTGAGGCATTGCATTATTGACGCCCTGTTAATATAATTAAGTTACTGTCAAACAGTGTTGGATAAAATATAGGATTAATGTAGAAACCATAGTGTTTAGCCTTTCTCTGACTTTCCCTTGGAAAAATAATTTGGCCTGAAGATTGCTATACTTACTTTGAAGGCTGAGGCAAATATTACTAATAAAGTAGGAAGAAAATCCATCAACTGTTTTTGAGTTACAGGAATATGGACTTAGAACTAACTCCTACATCATCAAGTCTAGTCCTCTTCTACCATTGGCAACCATGTCATATAATCCATGTCAAACTTCGTCTGAAAACTAGTTGGCATTTTTGCCCTCCTGTACCTGTTTGAAAGCTGTTCCAGAACCTTACTGCTCTGATGATACAGACCTTTCCCTTTTCAGCCTGAGTTTAGTCATGGTCAGTTTACACTGATTTGTTTTTGTGCCAGTGTTCCTTTTTAGCTTAAGTGGTGGTTCTTTGTTCCAGGTCTTTACCTCCTGATATACTTAAAGAGAAAACCATATCCTCTCTTGGCCCTCATTCGCTATATGAAAGAAGCCAAACTCTCTTTAGTCTCTTTTCTTTGTTTCCCTGATCATCCTAGTGTCCTTCTGTGTACCTGTTCCAGTTTGAATGTTTTTTTTCTTGGAACATGGGTAACCAGAATTGTACAAGGTACTCCAAAATGAGGTTTTATCCCTGCCTTATTCAGTGGTGTTAACCCTTCCCTGTCTTTACCAGAAATGCTGCTTCTGATGCATCCTAGGATCACATTTCATTTTCATGTCTGTCCTCACCTCAGTGGCTATTAGGATCTTGAGACGAGTGTCATTTAAATTAAAAACTACTTTGATTTGAAACCTTGACTGAAGGCTGATGCATTTTTAGCTTCTGAAGCTGAATAGTGTTGGTTACTACCACTTTAAAGATTCTACATGATTAAATCTCCTTGAAAACTCTAGGTCTGCTATTTAAAAAAAAAATTGCAATTCAGTAACCTTGTTAACATTTTTTGCTGCAGGCTGTTTGGGGCTCACTCACGCTTAATGATGCCAAGGAGTGGCTTTTGCCAGTGAGTTTGGCAAAAGCAGAATCATGTACGTTGTGTGTACAAGTTGCCCTCTCCTATCAGGTTGTCCGTTATGCAGGTTGTCCATACTGCTGTAGTTGCAGGTCGAAACAGAGTTCTTCAGGTAGCTCAAGTAGGAATGCCTGGAGTTGAGAGGATAAGGTTTTTCATACCAACTCTGCAGATGTATGCAGTTTTAGTCTGCAGAGAATGTTGTCTGTTCATAAGATGATTTGTATCCATGTCCCAACCAAAACCATGGGTTTTTTTACTACTTATGACCCCAACGAGAGAAAAGGAAACCCTCATGTTTTCAGGTTTTTAGTTAACGTTCTATTTTTCTGAACTTTATCTGAAAATGTTGACTTAATTTAGTTACTGCTCTGAAATTAAAATGATTCTTTAAGAAACAAAAAGAATCTTATATTTGTCATCTTAGTCTGCCCTGTCAGCTTGTATTATGCTACCAGACTTGAAGCAAGGTAAATTCAGCTTTGACTCATGCAAGAAGCAGTACAGGAAACACAAACATTTAACAAGTTGCCATTATTTGAAAAATAAATCCAATTTCTGTCAATGAAGTTCCTGGAGGAAAGTATAAGAAGGGGAAACATTTGTGTTGGCAGCCTACAACATGGCTGGTGCTGACTTTCTAAAGTTAAAGGAAATATGGTCAAATTATTCCTCACCCTGGATGCCCCCATCCGAATGGTCTCTTGGTCTGCAGGCCTCTTTTGCAGAGGTAGTAAGTAGAGGTGCACTGATGCATTGGTCCCATATCGGATCAGCACCAATATAGGGAAAATTGAAAGCATCAGAAATCGTTTTTTTTTGCCTGATGCGGCCAATAATGTCACCGATAAATGCCCTGTGCATGCACATGGCCAGGAGCACAGCCCGACAGCTTGGAGACCAGCGTTTGTCTGGTCAGTCTGGTGTGGGGGAGGATGCATGGAGGGGGCAGGTGCTACCAGGCTAGGGCAGGGCACAGGACAGAGCCACGGCTCAATTTGTGGGGGGCGGGGGGTGCTTCTGCTGCTGAGCACACCCCGGAAGGTCATGGGGGGCATGTGCCCCCGGTTCAGGGTGGAGTGGGTTGCCACTATGGGCAGCACCAGGATCTTCCTGGTGAGGGCTGAGCCAGGCTGCACTTGGGGTGGGCAGCAGTGGCATCCGGAGGAGGGCAGTGGTGAATTTTGGGGTGGCTGTAGCCCCCCTCTGTAGCCCCCTGCCAGCTCCGCTGCTGCCCACTCCCAGCACTGCCTGGCCCAGCCCTCACCAGGAAGAGCCTGGTGCTACTCAGGCCCCAGCCCACACTGGCAGCCCGCCCTGCTCTGCCCCACGCAGATCTGGGAGCACATTCTGCCCCATGCTGTCCTGGGGTATGCTCAGGGTGGGAACCACCTGCACCCTGCAGACAAGCCCCTCACAGCTCCGTCCCCTGCTCTGTCCCACCCTGGCTGAGAAGTGCCTGCCCCTGCCCCGTTTCCTCCCTCACTACAGGGGCCTTGATCTACGCCCCCATGCCCCTTCCCTTCCCCCTCCCCTTCCCCCACACCAGACTTACCATCCCAATGCTGATCTCCAACCTGCCTGGCTGCATATTGGAATTGGATCAGTTTTGCTTCTTAAAAATTGGCCATTGGTATCAGCCCAAAAAATCTCTATCGGTGCATCCCTAGTAGCAAGTAAGAAAAAGAGGTTGAATAGTTCAGGATTATGCAAGAAGTTCATGGGGAGCCAGAAGCACAGTTTTGTCACTTAACAGCACCAAGTGGCTTTTGAAAACCAAATGGCTGACCTGGCAATTTGAGAATTTGTAGGCAAGAATAAAGGAGGAGTAACAGCATCACTGGCTGCCTGCAGACATTAAAAAAAAAAAAAAAAAAAAAAAGAAAACAAACCCAAAAAACTGCACTTTACTCAGAAGAAGCAGCGCATTACTTTGACCCAGCTCGGCAGCATCTATATAGGTGCTTCAGCAGGGCTTTTTGGTGCTTTTAGCTAAATCAGTCAGATTCAATCAGCTATTAGATAAAAGCGCCAAAAAAGCCCCACTACAGCACTCCAGCTGTACAGACATTGGGCGAGCCAGGTCCAACTAAGGCGCTGCCTCTTCTGGGAATGTGCATGGCTTGGTGTGGGAATGTACCAAGCTTAAAGTAAAGTGCTGGGGGTTTTTTTTGTTTGTTTGGTTTTTTGTTTTTTTTTG